CTGCTAGGCGAAAAATATTGAAAACATACTTATATCCCGCTTGTTAATGTAGGTAAATAAATTTCTAGGACGGCCCTGGAATGGCTACAGGTAAGGATCTGCTCGGCAGGGTGTGCTATAAGCCGCTGCGGTTTTGAAGTAATAAATTGTAGGGAAAGTTAATCACAGGATCGGTTGCAAAAACACTATATTTTTGGTCGAAGTATACTAGGCCTTCAATACGATAGACGATCAATTAGCATTCTAATTTTTAAAATAGTCCATACTTATAACAAATATAGCCCCGCTTATTAGTTTACAGTACACATGCGTCAAAATATCGGTAAGCAAAAAATTCCTAAAAATCGGCTTTGACAGTTCCTAAACACGTTTTACAATAAGACGGAACAGAAAACAAACTATTTACTGCCAGCGACTCCGGTTCAATCGTGCTTCTGGTCGGGAACTGCTTTTGACTGCAGTAACATGAACCTAACTTTATACTGCTTATATTATATATACGTTTATTTTTGTGTTTTTCGTTTCGGACGTTCTGAAATCCAGGAGTTAAACCCATTCAACAGGTGCAATCCGTTTTCTTATACCTCCGATATAAGGTTAAGAGTTTTTATGCCACTTTCACCGGTGATGTGGCTGCACATGCAGTTGAATGCGCCGTCTAGCTTTTCATTGAAACGGTTTGTGGGATATCGCGAAAATTTATGAATTTAGAAGGTATAACCGAAACACACCGATATCGTTAATTAAGATTTTTCGTCCTACTTGCTCTAGTCGAAAGTGGTATGAATTATGAAATGGCTGCAATCCACCGGCAAAAATGCACTTTGTTCCTACTTTTATTTAACATTGCGTTCTAATTGTCAATGTATTGACGGTAAAGATTCTCATTTGTTCGTTTTAGTGGAAAACATTAAATAAGAGTGAGTAAAAATGATGCAGGTTTAGCTGAAAAATGGATTGTTAACCTCTACAATTGATTTTAGAATTTGTATAACGTTCTCTAAAGTCTATTTCATAAAGGTGTAGAGTAATAAAACTTCATTTGCAATGTGAAAGGACAACAAAGCGAGCCAACGAGTACATAAGTCACTTTCATTGTTTGGTACCGATTTCATCGCGAATTTTTTATGGACTGCGGGTGGTATTGTTAAAATAAAATAAATCGCCATCCTCCAAAAGACCTAGTTTCACTAAAATATTTCTGTATTCAATATTATTTTACTTATGAACAAATATACCGGGCAGTAAAAACTTCATCAGGGTTGAAGTACTTTTAGTTTGGTGAAAAAGAACAAGGACACTGATCTGGCAGAGACGAACTTTGCTTTGGTTACTGATCTTTTGTCCACGGGGCGTAAGTTTTTTCCGAATAAATATTTTTCATGAGTGCCCAAAGAGTAAAAAAAAACATGATCTCCCGAATAAATTAGAATAACCAAAGATCCTATGGTTCAATTTAGATCCAATCATGTTATGATTTCATTCCTCAAATAATTGCCTTTATAGGTCTGATGATGCCAGTGTGAGGAAACACTTGCAACATTTTGAAAATAATAACACTGATAACGGTGTGCAAAAGGTGGCTCGTTAGGATACTAGTCAAAAGGAAAGATATTGTTTTAACAGCATTTAATTAATTTTATTAATATTACATTTATTTAAATTATAAAAAACATATATTCTTGTATACCTGTTGTTATGTCCTCTTCACGTTATAATTAACGGGTCGCCGATTCAATCGATCAAGTAGAAAAGAACCCACATTTTCTACTATGAAATCCCATGCTGGACTGTTTTTCGTCAGTTTTCTGGTGTTACTTGCTCAATGATTTGGTTAAACAGTAGCTTTGGGGTCTTTAATTTTGAATAGCGTGTATATAAGATCTATAGCATTTAGTTCAGAATGATATGGTGGTGTTACACAGTTAAACTATATTTGTGTAAATTTGGCATATGTGATAGCTCTTCAATCTATCAAACTATCTTCAAATTTAATATTTTGGTGCTTGACCCGTCGATAACGTTTTATTTTTTATTATTTTGCCTGCACAGCCTGTGAGCGGAACTTAACGGAATTTTCCGTTTTATTACTCTGCAGTCTAATAATAAATAATATTGGAAGATTTTTGGAACATGAATTTTTCCGACGCAACAGCGGAAATATTCTCGATTACGCTTAACGTCGAATTAATAAACCATTTCGAAAATATTTTCCGTGAATTAACACCGCCTGATTGAGTTAACTGCTAACAGCGACAAAAACTGGAATTCTACAATTTATTAATTAATTTTACCAAACCGGAGTTTTCGATAAATTTTGACAAATTTTCGGAAAGATAAATTTAAACAGCTCTCAATTGCGCAAAAACTATAAAACGTGGGGCCATTAAAAATAAACTCAATATGAGACGAAACGGATAAAATGAAATACATAGTTGCAACACATGCAAAATTATTCGCAAGTCGGTAACCGTGTCGAATCTTTGAAGCCTTGAGTGACAAAGTTGAAGATATACGATTACAACAGCTTTCAATAGGGGACCTGTGATAAGGAACAACCATATCGAACTTGCCGAGTTGACGCTAGGTTACTTTTGTTCAAATTACACTCAAAAATAGTATTAATAATATTAACATTTATTAACAATGGCAACTAATGCAATGCAATGATGGACTACTACGAAATTATAAGGCCAAAACATTTTGAAAAATAGTACAAGAATAATCCCACTACAATATTTTATTAAAAAACTACTACTACTATGGCATCTCTGTCTATTTCATTCTGTAATCGTAGAAAACTGATTATAATAAATTTAACTGTTAAACTGTATTACTTTCGTTGTTTTATTGCCCTTTCGCATCAAATGTCGCAGGGCATTTTCAAGTTTCACGTTTCGTTTGACTTCTAATCGATTTTATAGAAAACCAATTTCTCTATCGGTGGCTCTATCTGATCTGGCAATTTAAAATACAATCTTTTCACGGCTACCGTTTTGCGCTAGAACGCCCAAGTAACAATCAACACTTCTTAGTTGGTTGCACAAATTCGTCAGTCTTTTAAAAGTATTAATTGGTTACTTCTTTTTGCACTAAAAAATGAATTTTGTTGGTATCATTCGAGAGCCTGCAAACAACCTAAACACCTGCTTTAATTGTTGACTTATTTGGTATTCAATCTCTTTCTCAAGAATTTTTATAAAGAATTTTGTAGATATTGATATCGGTAGATCGGGATTTTCCCTCTCTTTCTCCCTCAAAAATAACACGCAATTTATATTAAAAACATTATTGGAATGCAGGAACCATAAAAGAAAGTAGAATATCTGTTATCCACGAATTTTCTCAAACGAATTGGATGGCGTTGCTGAGATTAAAAGTATAATTTTGAGAGCGGGATACGGCTTAAAACTCCAACATCAACTCCTGGGACAAGCCACTTCGGACATTTCTATCGCAAAAACTCTTTGTTATTTGTTGACTGTCCAGTTCTTTTCTTACAATGGAATCGATGCGAAGAGTTTTTTATGGCCATTAAATGGAAACCTTGAAAAATATGTAGCAGTTTCAAACAGTGCAAGCGCACTGATAAAAAAAGATTACGCACTAGATCACTCGCCAACTGTATGCCAAGCATATGTAAAACTTTTGCAAAGTTGTATTATTACAGCAAACATGGTATTACAAAGTGTACACTTAATTTTGTAATAATATAATTACACCATTTACAATGTTTAAGTGAGTACATTTATATATTTAAATTTATGTTTTACCATGATATGTATGTATTTTTCACCAAGTATTGCAATACAATTTTGTAACAATAGGTGTAAAAATCCAAACTTAATATTGTCATGGCGGTTTCATGTGTTTTATAGAAAACTCAATGAAAACAGTCATAAGTAATTTAAAAAGAAATACTCTACAAGAAATTAATCCGAATTTGGTTTTAACCTATGTTGTTGCCATAGCGTTCTCTAATATATGTAATAAAATTATTTGCAGTTAATGGGTTTGCCAGATTTTCTGTTATATTTCATTTTGTTTAAAATATAACTAAAATTTTTGATTAAAAGATAGAACCACAGCAAATAATAATAAAATTGTCAATCTCCAGCCATGACCGCTAGTAAAAAGGTTTCTTAATAAAAAAAAAACGCTGATTCATTTACAATAAATAATAACTAATCTATGAATACTACAGAAAAGCTAAAAAAATAATCATCTACTTAACTTTCAACAAAAGTAATTCAGCAACCACAACAGCTTAATGTGGCTGTACAGTATCAACGCCCACCGATTCGTTAATTTCATTTGCAAAATTTATATTTACATACTAAATTGTATCCTAACTTGGTCACTTTAGTGCAAATTAGTCATGGAGTGTTTTTACATGAAATAACGTAAAAATACAATTAAAAATATACTTACTCCTATGTTAAAGTCTTTTTTAAAATTCTGTTGTATAAAAAAGCGTTGAGTAAAAAAATAGAATGTGAAATTACTTCTTTTTTATTAGTATACTTTTAAAATGTTTATTCTAGGTTGATGATAATGTTGACGAATTTGTTCTATAACGCCTTTTCCAAATAAGAGCCTGTTTTGTCACTGATTCACATAAACCGGCGGACTTACCCTACGCTCGAAAACATTCCCAACCTAAATAACGAGTACACAAACGACCTGGAAAAATCAACATAAACGTCACGCTAATTAGGCAATTAAGTTACCGAAATCTGGAAGACCGGTTGTCCCAATTTTCCCGCCTTTAACTGCGGTGGTAAGTTCGCCACCACCGACAGCTTATAAAAAGAAGTAACACCGCTAAAATTAAATACGTACCTATGTCTCTTCGTCCAACGCGCGCGGTAGTCAGTTTTGGTTGTAACGTGCGCCGATCGCAATATCGACCGGCAGTCTGTCCGCTCTATACTTGTTTCCACGAACACGCCGGCTTTTCGGTCACGTGACGGCCTATTCTTAAATACGGTCCTATCAACTCGCCGGCTAATAAAGTCAGTTTCGGTTGGCCGTGCGCGGTTTCGTCGGGTGCCCGGGTGCTTTTTTTCTCACTTTCGCTTATTGTCACTGTTTATTTGACTTTTTATTTTTTTTTTTCGTTTTGCTCGCGATCTTCCCGCCGTTCCGCTATCAGTGATTCGTGTCTGTGATTCGTTACTTAATTACTCCTTACGTAAGTGTCCTTCATTCTTGCTTTCTAGTTTTTTTGATTTTTCGAAAGTCCGGTGGATGAAATTTTTTTTAGCATGGAAGTGATCGAAAGAATGAAAACGTCGTTTTGTAATTTTTAACGGACGTCCCTTTAAATTCGTGCGTGTGTCTACTTTGCGCAGCTATATACGTTATCTGTGCTCTTATCAAAATTTCAATGGGATAACGGGAACGGTAACCACTAATACAATAAATTAATAATCGCGCATTGCCAATATCGTAGAACAGGTAACTATATCGTTAAATCATAGTTGCTTTTATTTATAGCAGCTTTATTAATTAAGTCGAATGTTAAAGTTCCACTCGATTCGTATTAGCATAATAATTATTAATATTCCAAACTGTTGCAACGAGATTGAAAGGGAAAAACGAGTGAAAATAAAAAAAGCTTCTGGAATAATAAAAAAAATATAATAAACTATACCTTGCAAATGTCGTAAAGGGACTACAAAGGTCCGAGGGCGACAAAAGAACAAGTAATTAACGCAATAAATAAAAAAGACTAGCTTCTAGCACAACCCTCCAATAGGTACATTAGGAGTGGGTCCCACTAAAAGTAACTAAACCAATGATCAAAGTTTTTAATTATTTAATAAAATAAATATTGTAAACCTTGTAAATAATGATTATTTTGCATGTGATTTTAAGGTCTTACAAATTTTAATTATGTAAATTTCAAAAACAATGCTAAAAATATACATATACATACATTTATTTTTTAGTATCATCCTAAAACAACAGCATTAATAAATCGTAGTCTTCGAAAGATAGAATGTAAACAAAATTAAAATATAAATTAGCGAGTGAATTTGACTGCCGATTATTCGCTTCTCCATGGCATACTTGGTTTTAGAAAATGAATTGTATGCCGAAGTCAATCAATTTTGATACTTGTGTTATTTTCATTAATAGGTGATTAATTAACGGAAATACAGTGTTCTAATCATATTTAATTTTAAGAAAATCGTTAGCCTTTCAGTGAAATCTATCCAACAAAAAAAAAAATCGAGTCATTAACAAACATTGTACTTAACCGAGACGCCCGCGATATTTCAAGCACCTAGTATTAGAACCTCATGGAAATTAGTATAGGAATTCGTTGACACCTTATTCCCTAATAGCCCTTCTCGATATTTGACATCAAAAATAAATCCCAGTTAGCCATGACTTCAGGTTGGTGTAATAAGAAATACAAGTTTTTAGTGCGTTTTTGAGAGATCCATCCAACAAAAAAAAAATCAAAATCAAACCATAAACAAAGATTTTGCAAGGGTGTACTGTTCTTAGTGGGACACACTGTATGTGCTAGTGGATTAACATTATTGGCTAAAATAAGATGCTGTTTATGACAATATTTGGATCTACGATCTTGATTTCAATAGTAAAACTTTTTACGTGTTCAGCCTTTAGTCTTTTAATAAAAAACTCCTTTTTGCATTAAAAAATGAATATCGCTGGTGTCATTCGAGAGCCTTTTTAAAAAAAGTAATATCTGTCGACTCTACTTTGGTTTTTATTTTCATGAAGTCACTGAACTGCACTGATGTAAGAATGTTGGATAAAGCAAGGATAAAATTATGTTGCAGATTGCAAGGATCATGAAAGAAATCAGAATATCGGTTAAATGCAAAACTGTAGCTTCAGGCACTCGATTAGGTACGTTATGGAGATGACAGAAGTCAAATTACAATATTTTGATCTACAATCTACCGTTGATTTGAAGCAATAATAAAATTGATTGGGGATTCAGATTAAGAAGAAAAAATATCATTCGAAAGGATGTACTTCGGGAAATATAGACGAGCAATCTTTGCAAATATTCTGCTTCTGTGGGTACGCGTCGAAAGCTGAGTACACATTCGCCAAGTCTCACACACTAAGTTAATTGACATGTACGAGCAGCATCAAATCAATCAGTTTATTAATTTATTACGTATAGGCTCTCGATACATCATATCAAGTATACTTGACAACTTAAGAGGCCAATCGCAAACTTCTAAGCCGCTTCAACAAACCAATATCAGATGTAATGTTAATAACATCCAATTTAGCATCCAGGCAGTGTTAAAATGAACTACGTTGACATATCACGCGTGGCTTATCACAAGATAAAGGTGATGGTGAAACTTCAGAAGATAACGCAAATGCAATGCCGAATTTTGAACAATTTCAGAGTAGCAGAATTTTGATTCTTCTGACGCGTTAGGTATAATGAAAAACTCTTGAAATAAATGAAACTTAAGTGGCCAGGAAAATATTTTAAAGCAAGTAAATTAAAGCAAAAAGCATACTTGTTAACAACATCCAATATCCAAACGATGTGTTAAAATCATATAGCTAGGGGGCTATAGGGCCATGCCCATGCCCATGCTGACAGTACAGGAACTCATGAAGCAACTATGTAATATTTTTCTGAGAAGGTGCATTGAATGTGCGCATGCGCAAGATTTAAATTTTCGTTTTTAACCAATGACAGCTCTGACGTTGGACCCATAAGACCTTGCGGCTTTCAACACACAACATGACCGCTGACAGATCGTCCATGTTTGGATGAGGCATTTTTACAACAGTATTTTCTCAAAGTATGTCGAAATCCTATACTATTTTCAGGCAAAAAGGAGTTAAGGTGGGGATGAGCAGTGCAAAATTGTAGTACCCGCGTCGGCGTCAGTATAATTCTGTAATTTGGCGTTTTTGTTCTGTTTGTTCTGTGTATTTCTTCATGTAAGCTATTTTTCCGAGGTTTAACCTCTATTGAAATAACTTTGCGATGCTAGATATCGCACAAGAAACATACTTAGTGGAAAAAATGTTCAAAATGTTCAAGAAGCACCTCCTATAGACAGTAGTAGTGCTTGTTCTGGTAAAAATTCAACTTGTAGCTTAATTGTTATTTTATATTTCCTGTAACTCTTGTAAACTAAAACATATTAACCCAAACATTCTTCGCAGCTATTTGAGTATACCTAAAAAAAATATAGGGAATTCTGTTTAGTAATTGCTATAAGTCTATTTTCAAGTTTGTTAAATGTGAAATATATAGGAATCACTGTTTCTCTAAGATTTATTTATTTATTAGGTCCTCATATCTGCCACATTAGCTGTAATTTGGTAAAACCACATATTATACAAGTTTGTGAGTACGGCAGGGGGATATTGACACCAAAAATGAAAACAACTATGACACTAGCAATTACTTATCTCGAGTTTGCCTTTTATGTTCATATTTCAGAGATTGGTGTTGCGTTCTCATAAACATTAATCAATTTTCCTGGAAAAATTACGGCAATGTCACACCTAAGTCTGTTGGGGGTTGACGCATGCGTAAATGATCCATACCTGAGTCGCATCACTATTTACCGTAATAGGGTCACTATATTTTCTTATAGTTAAAATAAACCAAGAGCGAGATGTCACATGTGAACCAATGACTTATCACAAGGCCTCCTGCGTTAACTAGGTTAGAAAGAACTTTATAAGACCATTTGCCAAGAGAAATGTTGATTTTTTTTTATTCTTCAGATTTATCAGATATAAAGAAAAACTCTTGAAAAAAAACGAAACCTAAGCGGTAACGAAAATATTTCGAAGCAAGTGAATGAAAAGATTCGATAGGTGTATTATTTTGTCACGATATGTATACTTTATTCCTTGCTAAAATGTTCAAAGCTCCACAGATTTCGTAATATTTGTCCCATTGTTACAGAGTAAATTATTAACCGTGAAGGTCTAACCAAATCAATATTTTAACGTTGAAAAGTGAACAAAGCCATCCCACTTTTTGGACAGCATCCACTTTGCGTAATACAGCGACTCTTTGTTGAAAATATCGCGGATCGGCCAGTATTCCGAGAATAAAAGGTGACTTCACGTATACACAATATAGCAAATATAGTTACCGGCAACCTACATACAAAAACTGTCGTTAAAATAACATCATTGACCGTTAACGACGGTCATTCCGTTTATTGAAAAGCTGAACACGCTTCGTTTGCCGAATTAAACTTTAAAAAGTTTAATTGTTTAAACTTCATTTTTCGATACCCGCGATGTTTCGTTATAATTTAGTCCGGCCTCAAATAATAGGTGCCCTTTACTTATACCCCACACGATACGCTCTAATCAGAAATGTCGAACTGACAAAAACCAATATAGTGAAAGTAATCACTTTGGAGCGAGCGAACAGGCAAGAGCGGCCGCCACACGCGGAATTATTGATTTTTTTTGTTTATATCGGGTGGGTGTCCGTAACATATTTTACGAATAAGTGGATGGGGTTGAAATGGTGACTTTTATGCAACGCGTCTCGCTAGGGAAGCGCAATAACATTGGAATTACTCAATGTCAAAGTGGACGTTTCAAAACGCCTGACATTGTAATTTTTTCCCTCATTTAACAATTTTTTTTCGCGCCGATATCTATTTAACTCAATCGAAATGACATGTGTATAATTAAATATTGAACGATTCATTCGCGTTACTTTTTTAAGCACAGCGTACAAGGCAAAACGATTTAATTGGCATATGTATCAGGTTTCTATTTGCGTGTTAATTGCAAACTTTGATTTTTATTAAAAAAAAACAAAAATCAGTGATTTAAAAAAAAGATGTTTTTTTTTTTTTTAATTTTAATTGGTTATTTTTAAATTTCATAAGAATATGTATCGTTCGTTTTTTTTTCTAGCAATTGGTATAAACCACTATAAAAAATAAACTATAAACTTGTGGTAGTAAGCAGCAAGAATTCAGGTAGGTAAATAATATCCTGTTTTATTATTTTTATAACTTTCCATCTCGTGTGGTATTCACAAAAAAGTTTTCAAAAAATGTCATGTCCGTTTTATCCTTTCTCACCAAAATTTGAATTCAGGCATATTTTAATTATGTTATTGTTTATAATTTGTAGATACTTAATTATTTATATTTTTTACGATACATAAAAAGAGGTTTTCGTACTCATATC